CTCTTCAGTATTTTTCAACCTCAGTTCCTACTCCCTCCTGCCAACCATTTCCCTTTGATACACAAGTTTCTTATAAGGAGGAAAACATTTCAGCTTTGTAATCAAATTTAGTAAGGCCACTATGTCAGAGTATATTTATCCAGTTTTTAGTGGCTGGTTATATATTAGGATTTTATGTGACATCCAGTAGTCAATGGAACAATCCATATTGTAATTGTTTAGTTTGTATATAGCATTATAAATGAGTAAATCTGATAAAGATAGATATATATCAAGATATTCATAAAAACCAGTTATGGTTTGTATCTTGAGGTAAAAATTCATTGAGATCACCTCCCTTTATGTTGTCTGTTATAATAAATGGACAGAGTCTTGTTCTATTTTAAAGATTTTTTTTCAATCACTGACACATATACAACTTAATAATGATTTTCATAAGTCAGGTTGAAAAATACTGAACTTGATGGTGTGTTGACTTTTGGCTACAGAGTTATCTTTTCTTGTTGACCTTTTGTCCTAGTAGAAATTGAGAAATGTTTACAAATGCAGTAAAAGCTAAAGAAACTATTATTAATGTGAAATAAATAATATTGACTGCCCCAGGAAAAAAATGGCCACTGATCCAGTAATGTCAAGTGTGTCTGCATGTGGACTCACATCTCAGCCGCTTGAGTCACATTTTTTTCAACAAAGAAAACCTTTGCCTTCCTTGTCATTCATCATACTCCCCACTCCACCCAACCCTTCTCAATCTTTTCAATCAGTAACAATACCAGATATTGCTAATGACAAAATTGTCATAATTTGGCATAATTCTTTCATTCAATTCATTTTGAGCATTTAAAAAAAAAAAAAGCATTAAATTATTCACTAGTCAATTTAGAATTTTAAAAAATAGATTTAATAGGGGCTCAGAGATTCCCATGTTATTGATCAATGCATTTGTAAATATGTAGAAAGAAAATAACTTTTATTGAATACATGCCCATAGTAGTTGTAGAAACTTTTCTCTTGTACTCAATTATTTCTGTATAATAATGAAATTCGTATTGGTTAGATCATTTATGTAATATTTAGTAAAGCTTTTCTTTTTTTTAAATATTTTAGTTCTATTATTAAGTCAGTATTTTATAAGTTAATGTTAGAAAAAAAGATCTAGAGATGTTTTCTAAACAGATAAATTGAAAAGAAAAAGCTCATCTTTTTCTGTTAGAACCCATACAAGTTCTGTAAGGCTAGGCACAAAGAAAAAGAATCAAATTCAGGACAGACTCTTTTACATTTCTTATTGTCTGTTGTCCAGGCTCCGATTGGGTGGATCCTGATGACCCGACTGTCATAGCGGAGAATGAGCTCCTGACCGCGGCAAGCTCCATTGAAGCTGCAGCCAAGAAGCTGTCCCAGTTGAAGCCAAGGCAGCAAGCCAAGGTTAGTGTGAAGAGTTGGTTTGGGTTCTTTGAGTAGTACTTGCACTGTTGGCTGTGCTTTTAAAGTTTTGTTTTGTGTGTAGCTAAACTTAACAAGAGTTTCACATTTTTAACAAAACTGGAAATCTATTGTCACTTTTTTTTTAACAAACTCTTCTACTTTTAAAAACTTGCCTAGTTACGTCTAGACATTTCTTTTTTTTTTTTTTTTCTTTTTTTTTTTTTTATTACCTTGTATTACATTTTGTAATATTGACACTTTTTAAAGTTATCATTGTAAGAAAACATTTATGAAGATCTGGTGTATTACACTTAAACTTTAAGAAACAGATAATTTAAACTATTTTCTACTAGGTTGTTTTTAGTTATTTGTGCTGTAGAAATCTTTGATTTGATTGATATTTTGTTTACATATATTTATGGCTAATTTTTAATATTTCATAAGCATTTAATTAATAATTAAGAAAAAGAGAAGCAAAAGATTTTGATTACTTTTGAGATTATTTTCTTGTGTTTAACACATTTGATCAATCAGAATGTCTCTCATTAGAGTGAAGTTTATTTTTGTAGCAATAGTAGTCTGGTGTGGTAGACAAGCTTCTAGCAGTCTCCTCCCCCCCCCCCCCCCCCCCCAAACTATCTTTGCTTTAATGTAGACAGAGCCCACATGCATTTTTATTTGTTGCTGTGTAGTAGTGTAGATAGAGGCCAGCACCCTGAGAGATATGTTTGATATATTTGGTGGTGTGGACAGATTCACCAGATATCAGACATGTCACAACAGAGGTTGGCTAGTCATCGCTGTTGTCAACACTGTGCCCTGAAGTATTTTTGTTTCTCTCATTCTTTCTCTCTTAAAACCTTTCTGACCCACTCTGTGTAGTTTTTCTTCAGTGTTCATTCAAACAAATAAAATCTTCAAGACATTTTGTATTGTATTTGTTTTTTTCACCACACTTTCTTAGCCTTAACTGTAGTCAACACCTGTCTGATGTTTCTTTCTCTCGAGCATCCTTATTAGACCTTGACATCTGCTCTTCACCACATAGACACTTTGCACAAGACACCCATGTAAACACACACTTCTCATGACAAATAACATCTACACACTCATCTTTATACCCACATTTTTTTTTTTTGTGTGTCATTTGGAGACAGTATAGCAACAGAATCTTATGAAATTCATTATGTTGATCATAACTGTACTGACCATATTGACCATGAGTCTACTGACCACTATTTTGAGGCTGTAAATGTATAGTTCATACAATCTGTATTTCATATTGTCATTGGGTATAACTGTATAGTAATAACTGAAGTGATACTAATAAACTGCTGGTCGTAACTGTTGTCACTTTTAATGCCATGACTAGTATTGACAGTGACTTTGGACCATAGATACACTACTACTACTGGCCATAATTTTGTTAAGAATAATTGTACCCTATGTAAATTTATTGGCTGCAGTTAGTAATCATCATTACTGTTGGAACATACTATACAGATCACTTTGGTCTATCAATACATCAGCAGGTTCTTCTCACCACAGCATCCCATCTTCTTAGTGAGCTACTCATTTAGAATTCAGTTTTAGTTGTGCAGCTGGTACTTACATTGTCATGTACACAAGTGTTAGTTCATCAATCATACATATATTACACGCACACACATACACATGTGTAGATACACATATAAATTCCTCTGCTTGATATTTATTTTAGAAAGCAGATGAAGAGCTTGATTTTGAGGAGCAGATATTGGAAGCAGCCAAATCTATAGCTGCAGCCACTGCAGCATTGGTCAAGTCTGCCTCAGCGGCACAGAGGGAACTGGTGGCTCAAGGCAAAGTGGGCTCCACATATACTAGATCTGCTGTGGATGAAGACGGACAATGGTCACAGGGTCTGATATCTGCAGTAAGTTTATCCTTAGATCAAATAGTTATCTTCAAATGGTCAATATTTCTATTCATTTGCTGCCTACCATACACATTTTAAACTGCGTTTTGTTTTTTAATGTATAGCTTGTTACAAAACCATCATGTCCATTGTGATTCATAGTTTTCTTTTATAAAGTAACTCTAGAGTTTATCTCTATCATGCTTTAAACTTCTAATTTTTTGTTAGGCCAGGATGGTGGCTGCTGCAACCCACAGCCTGTGTGAAGCAGCCAATGCCATGGTCCAAGGCCATGCTAGTGAAGAGAGGCTCATTGCATCTGCTAAAGAGGTAGCAGGCTCAACTGCTCAGTTGCTCATGGCCTGCAAGGTCAAGGCTGACCCCGGCTCAATGGCCATGCAGAGGTTACAGGTAATTGTCTTGTTTTCCCACAGTGCAGTAGTTCTTAATTTAGAAGGTGCTTGAGACTGTGGGAGTGTTGCTCCAAAAACCTTGAAATACCTTCACTTAAAGCTGTGACCACAGAGATTTGTTTCTTGTGTTACTTAATTCAATCCCATCTTGTGTGCCCAGGCTGCTGGCAATGCTGTGAAGAGAGCAACAGAAGCTTTAGTGAAGGCAGCGCAACAAGCCAAGGATCACAATGATGATGATACTAGTCTGACTGTCAACAAGAGAATGGTTGGAGGCATTGCTCAGGTAAGATCAATAAAACAATTTGTTTTTAAATCCCATATTTAAGACTACTGGAATAAAAAAAATAAAATAAAACAATGGTTGTCACGCCATTTTGGTTCTGGATGGCTCATTCCATGCTTGAATAGCACTATTTTTGTTTTAGTATCTATGTACGATACCAGCCAAGTTCATAGGAACTCCAGTTTGATATTCATGTAATTCATTGATGTATTCATTTAATAGAACAGAACAGGCCATTTTTCAAAGAAAAATATTTGAAGGAAATTTAGCATTATTTTTCTTCTAGCTTAAATGTAACATAATCTCCTTTCTTTGGAACTGGATAAATAAAGTGACTTTTTCATCATCTCTTTAATTTCTGAGTGGACTAGCTCCTATTATAAGATGGGAGACTATTGTGAAAATAGAATATTAAATGATGTCTAGCATTGTGCTCATGGTTCTCTCCCTTTGGTTTCACAGGAAATACAAGCACAGGAAGAGATTTTAAGGAAAGAAAAAGAATTGATTGATGCACGGAAACGGTTAATGAAGATTCGCCAAGACAGATACAAGGACAGACCTCCAGAGGATGACGACTCACCATCTTCTTTTTAACTTGCCTTCTCACTTTCTCTTTCATGGAATTTGTTAGCTTCCAGGCGTGGTTTGACTTGTGAAATGTTGTAGGTAGAGAAATAGTAGTTATGTAGTCAGCAATGTTATGTCCAGAGACAACATTGGTGCTTGGATGGCATAGACTCTTCAATTTTTTATGTCATGATCGAATCAAGACTTTTTAGAATGTCTACTGTCAAAATAAAATAGCTAGATGACATAGATGTCTTGGAAAGTAGAATGATGGAGTGAAATTACATATGACACTAATGTCTTGGAAATGTATGTCTGTGAATGTAGACATAAAGGAGTTTGTAAATGACATTTGTCACAAGAAGGGGAAAAAAAAAAGCTTGAGCTAGACTGCCTTCTTTTTCACCCCCCCCCCTCCCCTCCCAACTGTACTTAATAGTTGCACAAGTCCCATTACTCTCATCTCCTTGTTGAATTGTGTCCCCTGACATGTGATGTAGTCCCTGCCCAGTGTCTTATGGTGCTATTCTATTTCCTGTAACATTCTCATGTACCCAATTTTTGAGTTTCTTGTTTTATTCTAGTGTCATTCTACAATAGTGTAGCTATGTTTTGATGTTAAACTCACTGAAACCTGAGCAACCGGAAGAGTTATTTTAAACCTGTTTCATCAAATCTTACGATTGCCACAATATGAATATAACTATAATGGTTTTTTCCCTAAAACATAGTAGTATTTCTAACTGCAAGTGCAATTTAGTGATTGCAGATCTTACTGTGTTTTGAAATTATTGAGTCACTGAGTACTTCCAAAATAATTTGTTTATCTTCTAAAATATTCTCTGAATGTTTCATATCAACTGAGTATTTCAGAAAACATTTTTTTTTTGTTGAGCTTGAATAGTAGGGACAAGATATACCAATTCTGATAGCAAGAATTTCATTTTTAAAAAAAACACTTTTGTGGAGCAGTTGTAGTTCCATACACTGTTAAACTTTTTATTGATTTCTGATTGCCTTTCTGTTCACTGTTTTGTTTCTCATAATATTTCTCTTGATAGCCTAATAGTTCCCTAATACATTTCAATTATTATTAACTTTATTTTAAAAAAATTGTTTTTATGGGCACAATATTTTAGAATGAATATGTTCATCTTGTCAGGAAGTTGTTGCGCAGCAGTCACTTTATACACATGCAGCAGTCAACTCACAGCAATCATCTCACAGCAGTCAACTCACTCACAGCAGTCACATTAGCACAGTTTTGTGTGTGTGTGTGTGTGTTCCACCCTTCTTCTCCAGCACTCCTCCATTGTGAGCAGTCCATCAGAACATTTTTGTTCTGTTTTGAAAGTGTGTTGTTACCCAAGTTACTTTCTGGCAATGTTTCAGCTGCAGCCTTCTAAGTGCATTTTAGAAATCAAACAAAACATGTAAACTGATGCTGGGTATGAAATAATACACAAAACAGAATGACTACTAGTTCTATAGATCTCTAAAATAAAAGTATATAGCCACATGATCTTTGTCATCAATAGTATAACACAATTTAACTAGATATAGCCTGCACTAAGTTAGTGTCTTATCAAAAAATGTCTGTATAATGTTATGTCTAAAGAACCTATCTACCCAATGTAGGCTTTTCTGTGTCTGGGACCTTTATTTTCCTATATTGTCTCTCTAGTGGCTTATTTTCAATGTAGATCTTCTAATAATTTAATTCTCAGTATGGTATCTTTCACTTCATCTGTCTCTTGTATTATTCCATACACTTTAACATGAACCAGCAAGGAGACTCCCAACCACAATAGTGCTGAAATGTTTGCTGATCTTCTGGTGCCACAAACCAGCTCTTAGATGTGGTTGCTCTGGTTGGGTCAACACTCTGGTGCTCATTGTTGTTGTTTCTTTGCTCCTATCTCCATTCAAAACATATCAACTTTAAGACTGGATGAAAGTTTCTGATCTTAAAAGATCAAAATTTTTTTGTTTTTTTGTTTTCTGGTAGACATCATGGCTTCCCAGAACACTCGTTTGGAAATGTTTTTTTTCAACTTGTTACCAAGCATATATTTTTTTTAGATTTACAATTTGAGTTACTTGTAGTTTGGCCAATCATTTATATACAAGACCCCCAACGGGGTTGCATTAAACATTTTGGGAAGCTCTGATGTTTGCAACTCTGCATGACCCCCTAGTTGCTACAAAGTGTATAATAGTTGCTCCCTTTGTGTATAACAGTTTCCTCATTGTATAACTGGCTACTCTATCCACTCAGACATTAAGTGTATCCACTGTACATCTCCATAATCTTTTTAGCCATACATAATAGCCTAGCACTCCTATTGACATCTATTTTATTTATTGGTTACTGTTAGTGGCATTAGAAAGAGGGCTTCTAAAACAGCCAGGGGGAATGAAGTCATAACATTACAAGTTTCCCTTTGGGTCTTAGAGTTATTGTTCTTGTAAAGAGTTCTATTCCTATCCTTTAAGTAGGAAGAGAATGGCAGAAGAAACATTTTGTGGAATGTACTGTTGCAAAAGCCCTCTGACCTGCTGCCATTGCCTAGTAATCTGCATTATTTGATGTATATAGTGGCCTTGAATGATATTGTATTATAATGTATACAGTATATATATATATATATGAGCTTATCAGCTTTTGTTTTTCTATTGCGAAAGAGCCTGTTGTTTTGTTGGCAGTAGTTTACTTTTCTATTGGTGTATAAATGCATTGATCAGTTGTATTCTATAGATGTTACACATACTAGCTTGCTATATTTATATACTAAAAATGATATTGTTTTTGTCAAGTTTAGTTTCTTTACAATTGTTCTTGTCCACTGAGCATAATTATACAGGCCGTGTTTTTTTTTTTTTTTTTTTATACTTGACTAGTGTTAAATGTTATTAAAGAATTTGTTTTTAAGGAATTTTTTGTTTAGGGATTTCAACTGAGATTTTACACACAAAATAGTTTATTAATAGTCACTAACAGAACAGGACTGTGATGAAGTTGTTGTTTTTTTTTTAAAAGGAAATACTAAAACTATTGACTAAAAATATACTAATTAATTTAATAAACAGTAACACCAAATCCAGATTTAGTTGTTTTTTCATTTGTCATATTGGTTGAGTCAATAAAGTATTTCATACTTTGTGGTTGTTTTTTAATGTCTCATGTCCCTTCTGTTGTTATGTCAAAAAAAAAACAACAACTTTTTAAGATGGTAAGCTCCATCTCACTGATAATTTTCATTTATTCAAAGAAAATGAAAACCAGTTTTAATTTTTTGGTTGATGTGCTGTCACGTGACATTCTCTTTAACCATAGACCAGAGAAACATATGATCTTTATCTGTCCCATAGATCATAGTCGTTTACTTATGCATATTATTTATTAAAATGTCCAGAGTATAGTCTGTTTATTCTAAAGGGAAACACAAAAATAGAGGGCATGGTGGTTGAGTGATAAAGGACTTGGCTTTCTGCACTTAAGGGTTTCAAGTTTGAATCCTGGTGAAGACTGTGATTTTGAATTTCAGGGTTTGGATGGCGCCCTTGAGTCAACTGAACTGTGATGATCAGTTGTGGAAAAGTATTGGTCGTTGTGCTGACCCCATGAAACCCTCTTTAACCTCAGGACCACATAAACATATGACCTTCACATCATCTGCCCTATAGATCGTAGGGTCTGAAAGGGGAACAAACTAACACAAAAAACTAAATAAAAACCTTTTAGTTTTGATTTAATATATTAGATTTGGTTGATTGCAGCTTAATTTTCTTTGATTCTACTGAATGAAAAAAATAAATAAAGATTTAGAGAACATTTAAGAATTATTATATATCTATATGTAGATAGATATACATAAACACCGCACAATTCGCTTCATTTATTCAAGTTAGTTGGAGGGGGCATTGAAAGTAACACTACAATTTCAACCAATTACCTCTCAGGACAGATTATTATTTTAAAAAAAACAAACTGCGATTTCTTTTTGAATACACATGTACCTTCGGATATATCTTTGTTGAACCGTTGGGGCACAACACTCGATCTGTTGACCGTCTTTCTACATTCCTCTCTGTCTTAGCTCTTCATTAATGTTGGCCTCCCATCCTTAGGAAGTTTCATAAACAAACATTTTAAAGTAATTGTGACACAGACACGATCAAAAATGAGTTTGCAAACAATATGAAATTTTATGATCATAGTTCTATGTCTCTCTTCAACTGATGGCTGGCTGGACGTGTGGTATGAACTTTGAACCGGTGGCATCACTAGGGGGTGACACCCACATGGAAAAAAATGCACTTTTGCAAACTGCAATATTACAGACAGATTTTTAAAAAATAAGCAAGTGACTGTAGCTAGATATCCAAACAAACGTATGCAAGTTTTGTATCTAGATCTAGACAATAAATATCATTATTTCCAGTACACTAGTATTTAGTGCTTACACCACTGGAGAAGGTGAAGACGTAAAATACGCTTGTATTTCATTTGTTGGATTTGAGTAACCTGCTAATCAAGTAAAAACGACATTATTGCAAATGTTTTAGACATTTCATTTAGTGACGTAGTTTCCTTGTTTTAGCAGGTCATTTTATCTTTTTTTTTCGTGAAATATGTTGTCAATGAAATCGATTTAAAAGGTAATTTAAAAAAAGCTCAATTCCACATTGTCGAGTCTGTCACTTTCATACGACAGAGAGAACAAATGTTTCTCCAGTCAAGTATCCAGTCAAGTACCGTTTTTCTATTGACGTGAATAGTGTTAAATGAACAGGCCCGCTAAAAGACGACCCGGTGAATACGACGATCAAGCTCACTACAAACTTACACGCTCTTGCTGCCTTGAATGTCTCATAGTTCAGTATCAGCCGTCTTTTTCCATTGAACTCTATTCGACCTACAATCTTCCTGTGAGAAAAATAATGCGTTGTAGATGCAAAAGGAAAGATTTTCTGAAGATCAGAAATGCAGAAAAATGCTTGGCTTGAATGGAATTACGGCACTCACCTCTTATCTGACCAATTGATTGCAAACTTTTGAGTAACACTTAGACATAGGCACTCAGACGCCGTTTGGCGCATAAGGAACAAGCTCTCTCCACGGAGATCAGTTAAAGGTGATATCTCCAGCCTCTTACCAGCTGAAGCCCGCGGATTTCAGGTCTTCTAAATAGGTGCAACACTATGTCACGAAGCGTAGGTGGCCGCTGGGACAATGCTTGTATTCAGGCTATGGATCTTGGTCTCCAGGCTAATTGATTTGTTTGTTCAGATAGGTCGTACTTTTTGAAAGACGGCTCCTGCTTTCCCTATCCGACATGCTACATCGTGATACGTATCTCGATTGCTTGTGAAAACACTGCCTAAAAGGTTAAACAGTTCTATCTGCTCAAGCTGTGTATGCCTGATGTTGTCGGGGATACTTGATGACCTGCAGCCACTACGTCTAACCTCGAATGCATCTCTCCGTTATCTCTTGTATGTATTTCATTGTATTCTCGAGTAATGCTATATCGTCTTCAACACCCAGGTCCGTCAGTCGCTTTGGTTTACGCGTGGAATACCGAATGCACTCTGAATCCTGTTTTTATTTGCTGACATCGTCGATGGTTAGCACAAAGACAAATGCTCGTCACTATACTGAAAAATACCGTTATTCCATCGTCTGTTCCAGATTTTTAGTAGAGATGTCGAAAAATTTAGACTAATTGCCACATTTCCCTGCAGTTTTCCAAAGAGATTCGCGATGGACGTTATCATACTTGCATAACTTGCATAAGTTTGTTTGGTTATCTAGCTACAGTCACTTGTCCTAACAATTGCGGGGCCCTATGCGAAACTGAACGCGCGGGGCCTAATCTGGGTGGGAATAAGGAATATTAGGGAAAATTAAGATTTTAAAATTTTATTCATTCTTTACTAAGTACGAAATTG